ACTAAAAAAACACAAATTATTAAACTTAATTTATCTCACACTTTCGAAAGCAAATAACAAATATTTAAGTTTGTGTATTATAAAATCTGTTAGCTTGTTTATTTGTTAAACAAAACTGACTTTTATGCGATTATTTTATACGGCTAAAATTATTTTCCCACATTTGTTTGCACAGCATAATTAATGTTTATAGAAGCGGTGTTTCAGTTTCACCATTTAATCGCAAATGTGTGTCCATTAACCCCTAATTTTTTCTCACTGCACGGGCTTTGGCAAATTGAATCTTACGTAATGCCATATAAATCGAGCCACCTTCATATGAAATTCACTTACAACGGCAGCCAGTGGCAAAGAAAGAATTGCAATCGAAATTACTTTTAGCTCTCGAACGAGAAATGCAATTTGCATTCAGGGCGGCTGAAAATGGGGGTGTCTGTGGATGGTGGGGCTATGGGGCAAAGGGGTCATGGGTGATGGTCTTTCATGACTGTCGATGCATCATCAGTGCTCAAGTATGTGAACTTCCTCGGCTACTCGGAATTACGGAGCCCCTCCTCCATCAATTATGCTGCGAATTTCTTTATTACAATTATCTCGTTGTGCTCTTGGGCCTCCCTTCGCATTGTTCCCCTTCCAACGTCATGGAGCACTCGTGTGTGGAGGACTCTTCACCGATGGGTTCTCTTATTTCTTCGCGATGAGCCAGTGATACGGCAGAGTCCCTGGGAAATTGGTTTTAATTTTGCCACTTGACGTGGCCGGCACTTGTCGTGGCATTGACTCCCATTCCCCCACTCTGCCGGCTCCTCCGGTGTCAATGTCTCGGCTCTCGATTTCAGGTGAGTCCGATTTAATGAATGAAGATTGCAGGGGTTATGCGTTGGCTCAGATTTATGCGTAATGATATTCAAACAGGTTATTTATTGACTTAAGCCGTGAGTCTTTGGTTGCAGCTTTGGCTTTGGCTGACTCTATTTGCTTTCCCGACAAACCACTGGATAATTAAAGCATCAAATGCAGACAAGCCAGTTCCGCAGTAACATATCGAATGCGACAATAAAGTTACGATTCTAGCGAGTCCCTAGGAAAATTATCTGGTGTTAGTGTGGGCTGATGGCTGTTACTTCTGCCACTTTGGCTATGACACTTATTATGTATTTAGTTTACAATATTTGGCCCTTATCCAATCCTCCCAAATAAGACATAGTAGTTTCCATCCCCATATTTACTCAGTTTCCGTTCACTTGTTAGCCGAATGCGCCCTGAGTCAAGGGGTATTAACAATGACCAAGTCCGATCCAGAGATAGAACACATAAGCGCCGTCACACTCGAGCAGCAGAACCAGAGCTCCAAGACACTTGGACGGACGGAGATCTCGGCAGGAGACGAGCGACGAGCAGGTGTTCCAACTTATTCATTAAAAACAAAAAGGAAACAGACAGGGACAGGCAGGAGAATATAGAAAACAGCTTCAAGTGGGTACGAACCTCAGCCAACACCCCGTTTCCTTCCAAGTCTCAAGTCGACACTGAAAGCTCAGCTTTTCTTTCAATTAAAGGTCTTTTAGGAAAGCTAAATGAGGTAGTACAACATTTTTGACAACAACATGAAAATGAACAGTAATTGTTTATAGAAATATAGTTCTCCCTAAAAGCGATATTATTTGCTTCGCAAATCATGGACAAAATGTTAAATGGAGTAGATGTTTTTCAGTGTAGCCTTGTTGGCTCGAAGTTGTGCGCCTCCTTCAGCCGCTTCTTCAGCTGGCTAAGATTGTGGTCGACACGCAATTGCGGCAATTCGAAGTTGGATGCGCTCCGCGGGGCCAGCGAACCGAGGCAAAAGCCAAGCTAAACGCTTAGAAGCCCCTCTCCACCACTTGCTCCTCCTTGCTGCCCCAGGAACACACATCCGCTGCAGTTTCTTGCGGCAGCGACAACTGGCAACCTGCCACTTGTGACTGGCAAGCAGCAACTTTTCAGCACTGAGACAACTAGTGCTGCCCAACTGGTGAATTGGTTTTAAAGAACTTGATTCATTTGCTCATTCCTCAAATACTGCTTCAAAAAGATAGTTTTGCCTGAATCAATAGGTTTTAATCAGTAGAAGTTTTAAGTATTTGAGACTCACCTCATTTTTGCAGTGTGCCAACCGGCAAATTCAACTGGCTGCATCGACTGAAACCGAAGCCGGTTTCGGGTGTGTTAACTTTCTATGCCCGGTAGCGCTGATTGCCAAGACAACGACAGCCCAATTCATTCAGCGGTCTCGCCTTTCAGCGGCAGCTGCTCCAAGTTCTTTGGGCCACTTCCCCCCTTGTTACCGCCTTTGTGCTCTTGGCCAGTGGCTTTGCATGGCCAGAATCTGGAGTCTCCGCAGGCCATTCCAGTTCGATTTATCACGGGCAAAGTTATGATCGCTTAAGTGGCGTCGTTTAGGGTTCTTGTTTTAGCCTCGCAGTTTCTCCTCATAAATTCTTCCCATGACAACACTAATTGCAACTTGCTTGAAGTAATAATATGCTGGGAATAATTTCAGCTGCTTAATAATTGGACAATAAGTACAATTGGCTTTCTCAGATCTAGATTTCTTATCCATGAATAATTTGCCTGATTAACATTGGAGAACTCATGGGCAAGCCAGTAAAGGAATTCCTTTATATCAGTGACTGCACTAAAAGTATAAAATAATGTTCCAACATTCATTTCCTGATAGCAAATGGTATCTAAGCAAATGTAAATGACGTGCTTAGACAAATACGTAAACCGAACCTAATATGATAAACATTTAAACTCCATTTGGGAACCGCAAACTATAAATTCATTAATTGTTCTTCAGTTCACACTTGCCGCGACCATCGAAAACATATCAGTGGGCAATCGTATTTGACAGTCCATAATTGCTGGCAAATTAGAATTATTTATTCAACAAACCCATTTCTGATTGCCATCCGTGCAGAGTTTGTAATTCATAATCGATGTTTGGTATGCCCCGCACACAAAACCGAAATAAAACCACAAAATAATAGACACTACTGTGTATGTGCAGTCTGAAGAGATCGTTTCCATGTTTTGGCTGCGACGGAAGTGAGACCCCATCGCATGGAAGCCCAAAATTTATACACAGACCGCGCAACTCTTTCAAAAAGAGGCCATAAATATTGTTCATTTGTAAATAAATGGCTTACAAAAAAGACGAAAACTGCGCGTAGTGAAAATCGAAAAACTCGCAGAGCATATAAAACATGGTTCATGTTCATTTCCAGCACTTGGGTTTCTATTTCCAAGCCAAACATTGGATGGTGTTCCATGTCGCTGGGTGGGTGCTCACTTTTTATTGCAGTATCATCTTCCGGTCACTTTGTCAGGCCTCCAATACATTTCTCAAACAGTTGCGACGGGACAAGTGGCCCCACGCGTGTTCCTACTTGGGCTCGAACTTGAGTTATTAAAACCAGAAGCGGAGTCCAAGAAGCAATAGAACTACGTCCGACAAACGGAAGTTGGATAGACAATGCCATCAAGGGGCTACACTGAGAGTTAAGTGTTGCTAAGGCAATTTCTCAAACTAACTAAAGATATTATAAACTTCTATATAGTTCCTAAGCTGGCATATCAATTATAGAAAGAACATTTAACTTTAAGGTGATAGTTGATAGGGAGGTGGTTCCTCTGCTCAAGCCAAGAGATCTCACTTCCCCACTCACTTCATCGCTTATCCATCGTCATCGCCACTTAAAAGCAGTTCGCGCGACTGCTTTTAGTTCAGTGGCACTGGAGGCACCGCCGCCCAAGGGAGACCTGGTTGGACGGAGTGACCGGTCCCGAAACCACCAAGCGGACCGTCCCCCAGCACCCACTCACCACCCACTGCCCCACCCACACACGCACTCGTTGCACCACGTTGCGCTTTGAATATAAATTACACAAATAGTGCACACGACTTTGATGGCTGCAGCCGGCGACATTGAACGCCGCTACGCTGCACAGTGGGGCGAAAGCGAAGTAATCCCCTACACTCGCCTTCAGAAATTCGAGGTTTTAAGTGCTTTCACTCCCTTTGAAACAAAAGATTTTTGATGTACCAACCATTTTGTAAAAATGTTTGACCCTTTTTACTGTGTTCGTGCTATGCGTGTAAGACTGTTCTATTTTCCGAGCTGAAAACACGCCTATTATCCTAACATAGTTTTGGCCAACACACTGGCCAGAGACCACTGTGCAGATGAGCCGCCAGGAGCGCTGGTCATGTCACCATGGCCCTTTGATGCTAATGACTCTGCCATCGCCTCAAAAACCGGGGGATAAGCGTCGATGGGGCGCACAGCGCTCCAAACTTAGCGGGCAATCAAAAACCGTGCTGCAGCAAATTGGCATGCGTGATGTAGATGGATGGAGATGCAGCCAGCTGAAGACCAGGGGAAATGGCGATGGATGGAGTTGCTGGGCGGGGCGGGGGCGGAGATGTGTGGGACAAGTGATTTCCGCATCGCTTTCTGGATCGGATCGCAGCGAGCGGCTGCGTTGATTGATTGATTAATTGACAAAGGAATTGCCGTTAGTTTTCCATTTGCATTTGCATATCTAATTTATGAACGTCCAAGTCTTGTCCGGCCGTATGTAGTTCATTGTGTTAGCTATGCAAATGTTGTACTTCCGCTGCGAGCGTCTGCCCAAAGCAGCTTAATTATTCATTAATTTCAACTTAAATTCCATATTTGTGCCTGCAGCCATTGCTGGCCCAGTTTCGATGGCCTGCAGTTGCAGTTGTCTTTCCGCAGGCTTTTGTCACCATAAAACTGAAGTGTTGCCCGATTATGAAATAATTATAAGCGTTCTGCACGCACTAAGCGGTGATTTTGGGGCCGATTGGGCTCAGACTCGGATTACGAGTTACAGAGTTCAATGTGGGAGCTATTGGCATCGTTGTTATTACGAATTTAACTAGCTTTGTTCGGGGATTTGCGCAACTCGGGCATCTAGTTAGCCGTTCCATTGTGTTCCAATACCCATAGAAATGAGAACATTTATGAGCCGCACTCGGCTCGAAAACTGCACCCAGTTAGCATCTATGTAAATTCACAAAATCTATAAAGTAGGACCCAATTTGCCACTGCCATCTGCCCCGACCTTGGTTCTCAGTGGAGGTGCTGCAGCATGCCTTGCATATTTAATCCCGGCTACATTGGACCCGATCCGCCCTGCTGTGACCCGGATTGCTTGGAGGAGGGCCACTGCACGGTTCCGGAGTGCGGAGTTTGCCCGGAGTCCCAACTACCCCGGTGCAATCCTGCCCCACAGTCCAACAAGGACACGGCGGGGCAACCACTGGAGCAGAAGGCCCAAAAAAAAGAGAAGACCCAAGGACAGCAATAGGGGGGCAGAGGCAGAACTGCAATGAACTTCCAAACTCCAGGGACATCTCCTTCCTCCGATTGCGCTCATTACCTCCTGCAAAATAAACCGACATATATCTATCATTTTGGAAATTAACAATGGCCGCCTCAACATATCTAAAATATCTATAAATCTAACTTAATTCAGCAAAAATAAAAAAATAGAACCAAAAAGAGTGGCCAGCTTTGTTCTGATATTCATTCGCATCTACCTAAAATAAAATGAAATAGTTTGAATCAGCACTCTTGATTTAAATGTCAATAAAATAACACAGAAACATACTCGTACACGTCTGACCATTTCCTTATTCAAAATTCAAACAACAAACGTGTTGTTCTGGTCAAACATTTGCTCAAATTTCCCATATTTCTCTTGCATTTCTGGTGAGTTGTTGAAAGAGCAGGAAAATGTAGGAAACATATTTTGAAAATAAGCTTGCAGACATCTTTCGAGTGCTCAAAATGGTTTACCTAAGTCGTCCTTGGACTCCCGCCATTAACCCTTTCTACATTGGCCCCTTTCCGAGATGCGCAGTTTGTCCGTGCAACTTCGACATTTATAAAGGATACACACCCGGTGGCTGGCACAGTCGCTGCTATAGCAGCTATTGACATGGATGCGGGAAAATCAAGAATACGTCCGGGAACCAATCTGAGTGAACTTCGACACGGCACACCAAATCACCTCTCATGCAGCAGATATGTACAAAAATAATAAAATAGACTTACCATCAAAGTGTGGGAAATTGCGGGGGAAATAACAGCTACTCCAATCGAAATGGCTTAGATTTCAAATAGTAAGGCCCGGGGTTTTCATTTTATCGACTCGCATCACAATTTGTGTGAAAATAGTTTTCCACTTTCAAAATTCGAGTGTCTGGGCTTGGTCATGCCATCGTCTGTGGATCACGTGGTACACCACGTACTGGCCCCAATGGCAATCAACGTCCTCGATTGCGTGGTGCCAGTTATCCGCCAATTGGTGATCATCATGCATCAGGCATTTCTGGTTGATCACCAGGAGTCGGAGCCCGTGATCGATGTGTCTGGCATGATTCAGCCCGTCCGTAAAATACTCTTGATTGTGAACGATCCAACGCCGGAGCACCATGTCCACCAGGAGCCGGTGGTCAATACGGATGACATCAACGTCCTAATAAATGAAATTTCGCGCAGCATCCAAAATCTGGCCCGTTCGACCTACGATACCATCTCGGCGATGGCTGGAGAGTAGCCCCAGAGTTAGTTGTCATCGTGGACGACCCGAAAATCCGACATCGACCCTCCTGATCCCCCAGAAGATCCTGCTCCTTCGCCCAAGACATGGAAATGGTTCACACGGCCATCGGGGTTGCGGGCATATTGGCCATGTTCATGGTGGTGACCCGTTCGGTAACTCAAGTAGGTGGCCTGGTGTTGAACCAAGCCCGTGATCCGATTGCTGACCTTGTGACCCGCGGTGGTCCAGTGGCGGATCAGCTGTCCGCCGTCGAGGGGGAAACTCCTCTAGTGGAGGGCGATCGCATGGATGGCGCCTGCTCCGTGGTACACAGTATTGGAGGCAAGGCGTGCGCCTTGGTGGGGCCATTCCTTCCAAAGTTTGCCACTGAACGGAATTCCGAGGGTTCCTCGAAGGATGACGAAAAAGATAAAATGGACTCGGAGCAGCCAGTAGTAAAATCTGAAGCTCCGCCTCCGGCAGAACTCTCGGAAGAGGAGTAGGATCTAGTCAGCGATGATGTCGAATGGAAGGCTACCTGAATGTAAAAGAAAAATTTTAAGTATTCTCTAGTTGGCCTTGGACATAAACATCACCTTTTTTGTCGGCTTTGTGTGATTCGAAATGAGAAGAGCTCATTCATTTTGAACAGCTTGGACTGAACACAGCTCTTTCGTAAAATAGAACACAAAACAAATAATATGAAAAATTGAACAAAAATTCTAAATTCATAGCCAAGGACTAACTCAACGTATTTCTTCAGCAAACAAAAATCCCAGGTACATTCGAGTTTCTTAAAGTTGAATAGAAAAGAACTACAATTTATACAATTTGTAGAAAATTGTTTTGTTCCTTGACTGTTCTGTTAATATCAATAATCCGTTTCAAATGGTTTCAGCTGTACCATTTGAGCCTGCAGATCCGCAGATTCTGGAAGAGATTCGCGAGTGCCCTTGTCCAAATCCAAAACTTTCAAGATGGTTCTGATGCTTTGCTGCAGCTTCGATCCCTTCTACGTGGGTCCCTGCCCACCCGGCTGCCTGGCTCCTTTGATGGGAGGAACTCCCTACTGCGGATGTGGTCCCTGTGGAGGTTGCTGCAGTCCTTGCTGTGGTCCTTGTGGTGGCTGCAGCTCGTGTCCCTGCGGCTGGTGAAGCGCTCACTGGACAAAGAAGCAGAGATAATGGTCTCTCACCGCTATCATAGGCATTACTAAGGCAGCAAGCGGTAATGAGCTTCTTCGGAGATCAAGCTACTGTCAGACTGCTGGAGGGATATGTTGCTGTTCGAAATCCTCTTTGCCTTGGCTGGGGCTGAAACACCCAAGCTCTCGTATACATACACAATTTTTATTATGGCTGTTCAGTAATAAAATGAATTAAAATACAAAATTAACCGCATTGTTCCCGCTCAAACCCGAATATATCCAACCAGGCAGGATGGATGGACGACCTGCCTCCAGCTACTCGGTGTTGAGGCTGCATGTTGTCTTAGGTAAGGGTCTAGAACAGCTGTTTGGGCTTCAGGATTACTGCGCAGTCGCGGTTCGAACTCGCACAGAAACATAGAATGTGGAGCATTGTGTCAGGTCAAAGGTTGTTGGGGTAGGGGAGGAACGCTCCCTTTGCTATTCAGTCTTTGAATGAAACTGAAACTGAATCTCCATGCCTTCTGATGCCATGTTGTGTTTTGGTTAAGCGCGATTTACAGCGCCGTGTCTAAGGTGGTGAATCCAGTTCCTCTAAATTCATGTGTGTGCGGTGTGTGAGCTGGCCATTTCACTCTCATTTCGACAACGCATGCTTTGTTTTTCTCGCGGAATTTATTGCGGTAGGTCGGAATTTTCATTGCTTTGCCCTGGTCCACCCCACTCCATTTCTCTGGGTTTCCTTACGAGTATGAGTGTGTCCTTGTGCCATGTTTTATGGGCAAAGTTGTCCGCCTTCTTGTATTCGAGTTTTAGCTTTCGATTGCATTGTATGCCTGGAGGATGCTGCCTTCTATAAGTTTTCTTTTTGTTATAATAGTGCATTGGGGTTTTCATGTGTCTATCAGGTGATTATAGTTTTAGCAAATTCGAAAGTATTACGATTCTCAAAAGTACGTGCCACACGTTAAAACGTGTTAAGCCCGAAATTCTTAGAACCGTATTATGGAATAAAACGAAGTATGCATTCTGCCACACCACGTCTTACAAGAAGATTCGATGAAATTCAGGTTCAACTCCGCACAATGGGCACATCCTCCCATTGGCGATAGCTCGCTCAATGCATTTTTTGCAGAAGACGTGGCCACAATTAGTGGACACTGGTTCCCTCTCTCGGACGTCCTCCAGGCACACAGGGCAGTTGTAGGCCTCCCCGGCATCGGATCTGGTCCGTTTGCTCGGAGGAAGACTCCCGCCAGAATCAGAACCCTGCTCATTCGGCGCTGGTACATATTGCCTACGTCTGCCCATTGAAGTCGGGGGTTCGTCCGAGCTCGGGCTGGAGCTATTGCTGGACGAAGAAGAGGTGTCACTGGAACTCAAGCTGGACGTCTCAGAGTCGCTGGAATAGCCCATTGTAGACAGCTCCTGTACAATGAAGTCCTATTAAAACCCACGGATTCTGTATCGAGTTGGCGACAACAGGCAGAAGAACTTACGCGGAATACGCTGCTATCGAGGGAACTGGAGCTGCTTGAACTGTCCGAGTCGGACTCGTCTGAGGACGGCCCCTATTCAATCAAGTTGTATATATGTAACTCTGGCATTCTGGCACGAGCTGGCCAACAAGAACTTACAGTGGATTCGCTTTCTGTGCTATAACTGTCCGGGAATAAGGAGACGGCCCTGGTGCCGCGGGTTCGCTCCAATACCCTAGAATTATTCGAGGTGTGGAAACTCTCCATTGAAAGTTCCACCTGTCCAATAAAGTCTTTAGCCAATGGATCCGGATTTGAACTGGGGGCGCATGAACTTACCAAAGAACTCGTGCGAGTGCTGGAACTTGAGCGGACCCTGAATATGGGTATGGCAATCATCCTTGGGAACTGCTCTGATTCACTAGAATAGTCTGATTCGCTAAAATCCTCCATCGCACCTGTTTCTGAAGTGTGAATATTACCAATGAGAATTCAGTATTGCAACTTACGAATACGTTTCTACAAAATCACTTTGACCCCGTTTGCCTGATTTTTTTTTTTCACTAGTTGGACAGAAAGCTGTCAGAACACGTGTCAAAAATCTTAAAAGTCCAGTACCAGTATTTTATTTCCCTACGGTCACACTGCCTTAAAAAGTACTGCTTTGCAACACAAAAAACATTGTCTGTTTCCCAATATTTCCAATTTTGATATTTGCTAAGGGATAGCCCTTGAAAAGGTTTTTTTTTGTACAACAGAATTATTCGAGGTAATTGAAAATTTACATTATGCCTTTAGTATAAGGACATGTCCTGCCGCGATAACGTACTAATCTTAAATGGCTTCATTACGTCTTAACCTTAAATATACAGATCATATTTCGTATATTCTCAATAAGGCTTGGGGAGTATGGATCACCTGTTTGGAGTCCACAATACTTCACTGGAATGCAAACCTCCATATATAGTCCCGAATTGGTTAGTCGGCTACAATACTCTTTTCCAAGTAGATTCACTAGAAATTACGTACCCCTAATTTTAAATCATGACTCCTACAGAATAATAAGATGCGTAACGGGTTTGCACTATGCAGCCACTTTTTTGGTGGCGGCAGTAATTGCTCTCTTCCCGCTCGCATAAAAATCTAAAAATAGAATTCACTTGCTTGTGTGAGTGAAAACAGTAAACAAAAAAGTTGTGCTAGACGACGATTTTCGGTCCGAAATCAATTTCGATCTAAGAAACGAATTTGATTAATGTTTTGGTCAATTTCGTTATAATATAAGCTAAATATTATTTAAAAATGGATGCCGTGACTATTATTTATTTTTAAGAAGTTGTTTTAATATTCTTTAGTTAAAATCGCCGCTCGAATTAGCTACCGTTTACATATAAATATTTTTATTATTAATTATCTGTAATATATGTATTTTGTGGTACCCAGGGAACACCACGGGGAGTTCTGTTTATCAGCTGTCACAGTCCACTTGCAATGCTTAAAAAGTAAAACATTTATAATTTTCTTTAAAATATGTATCAATTTAATGCACATAACAGTCATTGTTTGAGTGAAACCATAATGAGAAATCGCTACTTTCATTTGTGCACCGAATGCATTGCTCTACAATACATTGTTTTATACACCGTTGTTTTTTATTATTTTTAAAAATATTTTCAAAGACTTTAATGTGAGTATGTATGTATGCATGTATGTATATATGTATGTATGTATGTATGTATGTATGTATGTATGTATGTATGTATGTAGTGTATGTGTTACTTGCACAAAGTAGTAAAAATGGTCTTAATTAAAGCCTGAAGAATGTTTAACTGACTGTCGGAACTCATAGTTATTGCAGCTTTTAATATTTGCTTAGGAAAAATATTTTCTTGTAGCCCTATAATTCCCAACTAGTTCTAGTGCGGACTGTAAGGCATGTAAGTCATTTAGAGTCGCAAAATAGTCCACGTAATCTCTCTTACGGTCGAGCAGTGAGTGTAGTGTATATGTAGTGTATGTACCGGAGTATGTATGTATGTATGAACCGGAGGATGTATGTATGTATGTACCGGAGGAAGTATGTATGTATGTACCGGAGTTTGTATGTATGTATGTATGTATGTATGTATGTATGTATGTATGTATGTATGTATGTATGTATGTATGTATGTATGTATGTATGTATGTATGTATGTATGTATGTATGTATGTATGTATGTATGTATGTATGTATGTATGTATGTATGTATGTATGTATGTATGTATGTATGTATGTATGTGTGTATGTATGCATGCATGCATGCATGTATGTATGTATGTATGCATGCATGCATGCATGTATGTATGTAAGTATGTAGTGTATGTGTTACTTCCACAAAGTAGTAAAAATTGTCTTAATTAAAGCCTGAAGAATGTTTAACTTACTGTCGGAACACAAAATTATTGCCGCTTTTAATATTTGTTTAGGAAACATATTTTCTTGTAGCCCTATAATTCAAATTGTCATCCGTCTTGAAAAAATAACCGGGCAAATGTTATTCATACAAGTGTTTGAAATGTTATAATATTTATTTTAAAATATTTATTCATAAAAAATATTTAAAATACAATATAAAATTATTGTAAATAAATTGATTACCCTACACTGAAAGGGATATATATTTTTATGTTTATTCGTATACAAAGTGCTACTAAATTTCCTGGAGCCAGCACTAGAACCAGGCCGAAAAAATCGTGTGCAAAAAAATCGTATGGCGTTACGCATCTTATTATTCTAGTGTCTTTGGTATTATGTTCTGATTATAATAGACTTTATCCCATTATCTCTAGTTCTGACACTCTGCCGCGCTTAACGCGATTATTTCTAATATATTTAATTCAAAATTAGATCTTACTTATTTTTATATATTTTCCTCGATTCTTGGTGTATATCTATATCGGGGCTATTTTTTCGACTATCAGATACCCTTTACTCAGCTGAGTGTCCCAGCAGTTGAGTCCCAACCCTATAACTCTCATGATTCGAGGGATCTAGAATCCGTGGTATACTCTTTAATTCTACTATTAACTAAAAAGTTTAAATTTAAAATACATTTCTTAATTAATTACTATATTTCAAAAGTGCAGGTATAAAATTTAGTTTAACATATTTAATTCTGCTTCATCTTTATTGGTGCATATAAATGGCTTTTTCCTTGCCTGTTTTAAAAAGATATTGATGGTATCTCATATAACATTTAGTCCCTGCTTCTATTGGCTAATCTTGATTTGTAATATTTTGTTTTACGTTAAATTTGATGGTATCCTATATGGTATCCATAAGGTAAAATTGGCTAAAGAAAAAAACAGCACCCTGCAAAAATGAAATTCAATGATCGAAAGTCCGGATCCAACAACATAGAATTCCCGAAGCCAGCAACGAACTTGCAACATGTTGCAAGTGCCGCTCGGATGCTCTCGAGCCGTTGGAAGCTCGAGCCGCGTTCTCGACTTCCGATTTAACTTTCAGCGCGCTTTCGACCGACTTCAGTGTACGTTTGGCTAGCGCAGAGTGCGGTTTGCAGTTCGATTCGGCTTAATCCGCCCAGTGCTTTTAGCGTAGTTCATCCGTAGGATTGCTCTGCCGCAGATCTGGCAGATAAGACTTGGCAACACATGAGGAGCCAATCCTGGACGCCCTAGCCCTAATTACATTTTCGGGCGACTTATTCGGCAGCCCGAGAGTTGCGAAAGTCGTAATGACGGTGCCATTCATCTGGCATTTGTCTTGATTCCCGTTCGCCGATCGCATTGCCGTGCTAAAGTCTGTAATAATTGTTATTTGGTCAGTGCGGGTTGCCAAAGAGTAAAACAGAAGCCGGAAAAGTAGACAGAAAGTACGGTTCATTTGCTAAATACACGGGACCATTTGAATTTCCCGACTCAATTGAGGAGTGTGTGTGGGCACTGTGTGTTGGTGCGGGTGCGCTCAGTGAGTGAGATGTGTGGCAAGTTTCAGTTATTGGCAGCCAGCAACTGATTTGAATATTCACTCGCACACTCATACACGAAAGGATCTGCGCTGCCAAAATACTAGACCAGATTGTGGCTCCTGTGTCGCCAGTGTACCAGTGTGTGTGCAGCATGGTTTATAGGTCCTGCAGCAGGCGTGATGTAAAGTGACAATTTCTGGTAATTTTCGATTTACATGCCGATGTGCATTGGGTAAGTTTGACGAAGGATCCATGGATTTTATTTACTTTGTTTGTATGGCATTACCTGGAATTAATTTTATGCGTAATTTATTGCTACGAATAAGAGGAGAAAGAGGTCAAACTTGAATCAGTTCCTTCCATAAAAATAACTTTATGGCGTAACACTTAATAATAAATTGGAAAATGTAATTGTTGGGTAAAATGAAACTACGTTGAGGTGGATTCATTTTATTTAACTTTAAACTTTCAAGTGTCAGGTTACGATGCTACCGAGGGATAGCATGATTTATTTGCTCATAATGAATAAAATTACTAAAGTAATTCATCCCCCACTTATCCGCTTCGTATTTTTCATATTTAAAGTTATAATATTGTGATTGTAATAAATAAGTAATAACGAAATTATATTACTAAAGGCTTTTTTTTAATCGATTTAAAAACGTTCCGTTAGGCCACGAATAATGTTGCTTGTATTTCCTTTCCAAGGCACACGAGTAGTTACCTCTGAGCTGCGATTGATTTACACCTGCTCGGAAATCTTGACAATCAGAAACCGCAAGACAAACACTACCTGCGGATTCGCGAAGATATCAGATCGCGTATACTTCCGCTCTTAGAGGGTTTCGCCTGAAACATTTTCCTCGAAAAAATTAACTTTCCTAGAAGCTAAAAACACATAAAATATATGCACATAGAATAAATCAATGAGTAATTACAGTGGTGCTATCGATTTTAGGGTCTTTTCCCTGGAGCATAAATTAGCGCCAATAAATATCGCGACATTAGGAAAACTTTATTGGTTTCGGATGGCCAAAGATGATATTAATGGGAGCCATTAATATTTAATCCCCGACAACAGGTTTCGTCAGCGTTAAGGACAAGGGGTACCAAGGCACCCAATCCATTATTTGGCAAAAGGCGAATTGAAAACTTTTACAAACAGCACCTGTGTCTAAAGAATTTTTAATAAAATCTCCTGAAAAAGTGGTAAACTCAACAAAGCCATTCGTCATGCTCAAGTAACTTGGGTTTTCGACTTTTAGGGTTTTTTCCCCTCCTTTAGCGTTTTTTCTTGCTGGTCAGCGAACCAGTTTGGCATCATAATTATGCAACCAGGCATGCAGCTGAGGACTCTGCCGGTTGCCAAGGGGTTAAAAAGAACCCTTTCTTCCCTTATATATTTCCTTTATACATTTAAATTTGGGTCACTTACGGCCGAAGCAAATTATAATTAAAAAATGCATTTTCCCTGCAGCCAAATAACAATTCACTTTTAATTTTAATCACTAAATCGCAAAAAACACTTTCAATTCGAACAAAGCGCCACCCTCTTTCACTTTCGCGACGGCCTTGACGG